ACAGTCCCTGTGCTTGCCTAAGCTTGCCTCAGCTTGCCTAAGCAGGTGCTTTAGACTGCTGAGCTATCTTGCCAGCCCAGAATGGTGTAATTACGGGTGGATGCCACCAGGCCTATTCAATCTGGATTACTTTTCTGAAAGAAGTTCTTCAGTAGGTACTACAGCAAAACAAAAATATGGGAAAGAGAATTTTAATGTACAAATAAAATGAAAATCAGCTTATTTTCCAGCTCCTGAAAGAATTCATCTTGATAGCTAGATGGGGGGACTTTTTTTTATTCTCTTTGTTTTTGAGGCAAGGTCTCACTGTAGTTAGGCTGGGCCTGAATTCACTAAGTAACCCAGGCTGGCCTCAAACTTGTGTTGATCTTCTGGCCTCAGTTTCCCAAATGCTAGGATTACAGGCACATGCTGTCATGTTTGGCAAAAATTAGTTTAGATAACGTCTGATAAATGGTGTGTTTTTTTTTTTAATGCAGGGATAAGTGGTGTTTTTAATAGCTACTACAAAGACAATAACATGCAATGTATTAATTATTGTAACTGTCCTACTAGCCTGTTTTGAAACTGTCTCATTGCTATTACTTTCTCAATAAAATTAATTTTAAAATGTTTTTAAATTTTAAGAAGACTATAATTAGAGGAAATGAGATTACTTTGGAATATATTTCTCTTTTCCTTTAGTGGTGACAACAGAGGAAAATAAACCTAGAGAAGCAGGCTGGGACTTCATTGTGAACAGCTTTACAAACTTGTGCAGGTCATCCTACTACTAAAAAGAATTTCCTGTAAACCTGGTAACTTCTCTAAGTACTGTATTTTTTCTTCCATCCCCTGCCTAATTTTTTACTGCCTTACTCCCCTACTGTATGTTTGCAAAAAGCACAAAGCTTCCCTCATCTTACCTACCACAAAGCTTACCATGAACAACTAATTTCTAATTTTAGTGATGTTTCTCACTCTCCACTTTCTAAAGTTTTCATTACTACTTTATTGACCTTGAAACTTTCTCTTAGCATGTTTTGTGTGTACATGAAGGACCTAGAAGGACACATTCAGCTAAGCTGCTTGTGGTGGTGAATGCCTCTTCTTTGCTTCTTGTGTTTTTGTTTCCTGTAATTCACATATTAACTTTTTAAGAATAAAGATTATTTTTAATCCCCGTCCAAAGAACTTTTCCTTTCGCTTGGCTTCCACAACCAGATATCCTCCTACTTCTTTTGTCTATGTAGGTTCCTCTTCCTTTTTTTTTTTTTGTATTTTGTGCAGGGTCTCACTATGCAGCTCAAACTTGTAGTGATCCTCCTGTTTTTAGCCTCCCCAGTGCTGGGGATTATAGGCACACACCAGCATGTATAGACTCAGTTCCTCTTAAACACAGAACACCTCAAAGTTACACTGTCAGGCTGAAAACTGGAGAATCAGTACGAGTCCGATCTGCACAGTGAAACCCTCTACCAAATACATTTTTAAAAAAGGGAAGGGGGGCGGACAGATAGCTCTGTGGAGTAAAGTGCCTGCTTAGACAGGCGCAGGGACTGGGGTTCGATCCCCAGTATGCCATGTCAGCCCCACCCCTGGAGTGGGCTGAGATGGCGACTGAGACTGGGTGTGGTGGCATATGCCTGTAATCCCAGTGCTTGGGAGGCTGAAAACAGGAGGATCATTGGGAGTCTGATCTGTGTAGTGAGACCCTGTAGATTGTGTACTAAAATACATTTAAAAAATGTAAAAAAAAAAAAAAAGTTGCACTGTCAGTTCTCCTCTCTCTTAAGCTCTTTCTTCTCCTCTGCTTAATTCATCCATAGCTCTGCCCCTACTCCTTTCTCAAAGTGAGTCCAACATTTCCAACTGTCTTTTTTTTTTTCTTGTTTTGTTTTGCATTTTGAGACAGGGTCTTACTATTTAGTTCATGCTAACCTTGAACTCCCTAAGTGGCCCAGCTTCCCGAGTGCTGGGATTACAGGCAGCTAGCATCTTTACATTTTCCTGGGTCTCACATTAAACAAATGAAGAGGAAGCACTGCTTTTCTCTGAAATATAATGTCCCCAATTCTATCATTAATGCCATTATTCTCCCAGTGTCTAGGCAAAACCCCTGACAGTGGTTTCTCAAACCTCTCATTCCTTTGTCTAGAAATATAGACATTAAGTCCTATCAACCTTCCTCTCTAATGTTTCTTGTCCTTTTTATTTTTGCTGCACCCACCCAAGATCAAGTTGTCGGTGCTTGCCTACAATGTCACAAAAGGATCCACTAACACCTACTCTCACATCAAAGCCCTTCATATCCAAGACCTAAACTACCTTTCTAGCTTTGTATTCTGGAATAATGCTGATTTCAATCAAACCAAATTTCTTCCTGTGACCCAAACAGCCTTTGCCTTTTCCTTCTTTTGCTTTTTCTCTCTTCATACTTTTCCCTTTAGTTGAGACCATGAGTCTAGACCACTAATCTTCTTTCTACCTACAAAAGCAAGAAGATTAAAGGTAGGAGAAGGAAGATTAAGAATGAACAAGAGCCAGACATGGTGGCCCACACCTGTAATCCCAGCATTCAGAGGCAAAGGGCAGAGGGACTGCTGCAAATTAGAGGCCAGCCTCAGCTATATAGTGAATTGAAGGCTAGCCGGGGCTACATGGCAAGACCCTGTCTAGATGAATAATTGTTTTTAAAATGTTCCAAACATATTTTAAAACAATGAGTAAGAGTCAGGCATGGTAGGGCATGCCTGAAATTCCAGGACTTGGCAGGAATTGTGGCAG